AGCTAGACAGTCTTTAAGTATATTTTAAATTATATTATATATATTATTATACTAATATATTTCTTAGCTGTGACCAAGAGTTTTGAATGTTTGGCCTTTTGTACCTGGAAAGGATGATTGACAAGATAAATGGTCAAGACAGATCAATTTAGATTAACAAAAAAGTAATACTCAATGACTTAAGCCTGGCATGCTCCGTGGGAATAATTGTTACTGTGCTTTTTATGACAAAGTATTTTCATGTATAAATACAAAACTATGTTATCTAAAATCTAATCCTACATGATTTCGGAATAAGTGGCGAGAGACAAATGATTAAAGGATCAATGTCCAAGTTTATTTGTCAGGGAGAAATTTCGGTTTACCCGAGGATAAAATCAGCGACTCTTAATCACTACTAGTAATCCCACGCCCTAAAGAGCCCTACTAAGAAAAACAGACGGACTTTATTCAAGACTAAGAAAAAACTTTATCCGCGCGCAGTACTAAGCACTAATGTGTATGCCAGGAAACCGCTAATAAATCTTATGCCTTTCCGCTACTTCACTTATCATATCATTAAAAAGCGCACTTTGTATAATTCTAACTTATTAATAACCAAAATAATACATCCTACTTGTCAAAATAGCCATTTTATTTTATGAAAGCAAACACAAATGTCCCGCCATTTTTGATATCTATATTATTAGTTTTTGACGTGACGTCACCAATTGTGGCGTTCTATACCGGCTTCGGCGTTATGTGTATTTATATTGCAAATGCAAATTGGCAAATAAAAAAGAGCAAAAAAAATTCGATTTTCGCAAAAGAAAGCCTTTATATATACTTGTCAAAGCTTAATTTTCAGCAAGTCTCCCTTGTTGGTGAAGCAGGTCCAGTGAGGGAACCGAATAAAGCAGCAAGTCTAGAAAACGTGCGTCGGCTTTCTAGTGAAGAGTTGAGCCTTAACCAACGGTCCGCTTCCCAGTAAAGCAAGCAAGTCTAAGAACGGTCCGCTTCCCAGTAAAGAAGCAAGTCTAAGAACGAGTCCGCTCCCAGTAAAGAAGCCAAGTCTCAAGAACGGTCCGCTTCCCAGAAAAGAAGCAAGTCAAGGAGCGCCATCAAGTCTAAGAAGCGCCCGCACACAGTCCAAGAAATGCAGCCCCAAGTTTCCAAGAGAAGCGCAGCAAGTGTCTAAGAACGCGCAGCAAAGTCCAAGAAGTCTAAGAAGCGCAGCAAGTCCAAGAGCGCAGCAAGTCCAAGAAGCGCAGCAAGTCCAAGAAGCGCTGCAAGTCCAAGGAGCGCGACAGCAAGTTCCAATGAGTTGCAGCAAGTACTAAAGAAGGCGCCCAGCAAGCTCCAATGAAGCGCAGGCAAGTCCAAGAAGCGCAGCAAGTCCAAAGAACTTCTTGCAGCAAGTCCAAGAAGCGCAGCAAGTCTAAAAAAAGCGTGCGCTAGATGCTAATAGTGCAGCAAGTACAAGAAGCCGCAGCCAACACACTTATATAGAAGCAAGTCCAAGCACACGCAGCAAGTCTAAGAAGCGTAGCCTAGTGCAATAAGTGCAAGCAAGTCCAATAGTGCAGCAAGTCCAATAGTCCAGCAAGTCTGAATACTGCAGCAATTCCAGGAGTACCAGCCGATTCTTAACTTATAACTCACAAAATACCGCCCCTCAGCATATCGATAAAAATCTGCAAAAGCTGAAACCAAACTTAGACAATTAAGGAGGGCTCGTCCGGGCATCACTTTAAAGAGCTTTTGCATAAAACTGAGCAATATGTTTTTACGACGGAATGCGTTAAGAATAGGAGAGCAAGCCTAGCGCTTATCGCTGGCAGCGATTTATTATCTGTTTCTTTCAAGAGAAGCCGAAGCAAGGAGTGCACTAGCCAGAGAGGAAAAGGCCCGAAGCGCCGTGAAGAGCAAGAAGACAGCATGCGAAATAACATGTTAGCCTCAGCATGCAAGGAAAAAGATTACTCAGAGATGACAGCGCGATCAAATCCAGCCAAAGCTAACCACCAGCTGAGGGAAGCAAGCTCCCTCAGACAAGAATACCTAAGACTTCTGCATGAGATGAAGCAAATGATATATGAGATCTTTCTGGCAGAGATTGAAAACATTTAGCCCATCAGCCAACGACAGCCGGAAGAGAGGACACCCTTGGGCCAGGAGCTTTAGACTCAATTACTTACATGCCGCAAGGTCTGAAGTATTACACAAATTGCCTATTGAAAGAAGCCAACGAGATGACACCTTGAAAAGAGGCTATACTTAAAAACGCAATACCAGTTGCAGTGCAGCAGGCGTCTTCAGGCACCGGTGAAGTTCAGCAGAGCAGACCACTAACCTGGTGAGCTGTTTTTCAGTTTCATTGACCAGAGCCCGCTTTGAGACGATATTTCACAAAGTGCCGCACAGATATAGCTGCGAGTAGCAGCCAGACCTTTCATGCCCGAATAAGCGAGCTACTTAATCAAGAACAGTTCATCGAGCCGCGCTGTTCCACAGATTTGCCGCCTTCCTGCAAAGACGAGAGCTGCCAGACATCAATAGAGAGTTAACACGCCTTTCAGAGCAAGTACATAGAAGCGCATAAAGGGCTTCTTCTGCTTTTGCCAGACGGCTAACTCCAGTTCCAATAACAAGGCAGAATGGTTTCTAAGGCCAAGCCGAAATAATTCAGCAGACATACAAGCAGGAATGACACGCAGAAACAGAAATTCCTTGCCAATGAAGCACATGCTTTATTATGTTAATAAGGCGCGCACCATCTACCAGAGACTGCCGGACAAAACAACAGCAAGCCAAGCCACCGCATAGGGTGCTGCTTGTATTTGCAACAAGACGGCCAGAATATTGCCCAAAAAGATTGTCGGCAAACAAAATCAGAAGTGTAAGAAGTGAACCGCAAGGTAGCCAGCCGTATGCTGCCAAAGCAGACCTTAATCCCACTAGACCAAGAACCTGCATAGCATAAGGAAAGTTGAAGGTTAGCCAGGTCGCCGTGCAAGACTGCTGCCCGATCCTCGCGGGGACAGCTGCTACCATTCGCATTATTGCGCAGAAGAAGAAAGAAACCTGCCGAGTTGAAAAAGCGGCTTTGATTGCGCAGCAATAGCAGTTAGAGTGTATGCAGCAGATATGGTATGTTGAGTTAGCGGCGCGTAATAAGAAGAAGTTGTGAAAGGGAGAACAACATTCACGGGTAAAGAACATGTTTGATGCATAACAATTGATGGAGGATGCCAGTAGTACCTTTGGCGAAAAAATAATGAGGGTTTCGATCCGCAACATATAACTATGTTGGCAGATCATAGAGCAATGCGTGCCTTAAGTCATTAATATGCTGATTAGTGATTGCATAACGTTGCCGGAAGTACTTAGATAAGCCTCGATCCTGAATGCGAAGTGACAGAAAGATACCATCGGCCTGTTGCAGCAGTCATGACAAGAGCACAGCATTTCAGAGAAGCAGACCGTCCAACTAGCAGCGTTGCACTGTTCCAAAAACTCTTTCCTGCGAAGCTGAAGTTGACATAGACAAAATTGCAAGGAATACCAGAAGCTGACTCTTCATTGAAGAAAGTCTTGGCGACTTAGCCAATAGAGAAGCAGAAAAGAAGCTTGCAAACCAAAGCATGCGAGCAAGTTTAAAATACGGTTGCGCTGCGCAAAACGCGTAGTGCTGCCCTTGTATAGAGGTTTACTTTTCAGAAAAATGGTTGATGACTCAAAACAGATTGCTTAGTTCCAACAGGACTTGTAAGATGATGATGCGAACATGCCCCATGCAATCCCATTGTTAGCTGGACATTTGTCATCTAAGAAGACAGAGGACAGAATCCTGACAAGCTCTCCATTGGCCCAGCCGGAAATAACGGTAGAGATGTGGACGTTTTGTAGATTCGCTGCTGACGTTAGCTTGAGCCAGGAAGAACCAGTCCCAAAATCGGCGCAGGGCATAGCAACGGCTACCCCCTAGTGAGACATGCGCGGTAGATGCATCAACCATTAATTCATCGCAGTGCAATAGACTTGATTAGACCGCATATATACCAGCTGTCGGAGCTAAGCGGCCGGGGGGGGGACAACAGAATATATCTAGACGGTGGCCTTAAGGATTTTGCCACACGTACCTGAAAGCCGTAAGCCCATGGCGAAAATAGACACGAGAGCAATTGTTATGCAAGCACTGCCCTTGCAATTTATATATAAGGGTGAGCGATTTCCTTCAAAGTTACTAAGTACAGAGGCAGTCAAATTATACAGCAGACCTCATGAAAGAGAGCATATGCCGACTACATATCCTGCGTGAAGCCAACTCTTCACAACACCTTAACAATCCAAAGCTGCAACGGCATTGTCTGTTGAGCGGTATACAGATGATGGATGTGCCTTAAAAGAATATGCTGCGGAACATGTAGCCAGGAAAGCACCGAAGCACTGCAGGTAGATACTTACCGGCCGCTATTATTTGCTATACAGCAGAGGTACCACAGCGCGAGTACAGGATTTTTCCCCGTTTGAGTTGCAGTGTATGGAAGAACCAGTTAAAGAGGCCAATGCAAATACTAAGGACGATGTGGACTCAAAGGAGATGACCCAGAGATACAGAATACATACCTGTATGTGCTTCAACCCTGAAGCAGCGCTTGGCAGGAAAACATGCAAGATAGCAAGAAAAAGCCTGTTGGAAAGCCAAGGATACCTATAAAGCATCACTATAACAAGTAGAGCTCGAAACAATGTTTTGCGTGTTGGAGATAAAGTCTTACTGCTTTTACCCACAGGACAATAATAAGATTGCATGCCTTCAATGGAAAGGACCTGTTTCAAGTTGTCGAAGTAATTAATAGATTTGATTTAAACAGAATCAAGATTGGAGACAAGCTGAAGCACGTTCCCACATTAATTTGCTGAAGAAATATGAAGAACGCCAAATAAAGATGGCAGTAAGTTGTAACGATCATAGAAGACGTTGAAGATAATTCAGATGGCAGCGGTGGACGACGATAATGTCTCCTGGGACTTCCCTAACTACACAAAGTGCGAGTAGACATAACCAAGATGTCAATCAATCAGTGAGCGACTTACTCCTTAACAGAGGCAAGCAAGTCCTTGCCATACTTCAAGAGTTTTGCGAAGTGTTTTTCAGAAAGCGAACCAGGAACAACTCCACTGATAGAGCACCACGTGAACTAACAGACAAAGAATTCCTGTGAGAGTGAAACAGTACCCCATGGAGACAAGCTGTTGAAAATGAAATACAAGATATGATAAAGGCTATGTGATAGAACCATCTGTGTCGGAATACAACGCACCGATAGTCATTGTCAAGAAGAAAGATGAGAGTAATCGATTTTGTTATTGATTTTAGAAGACTGAATGCCGTCACCAAATTTGACACCGAACCAATGGCAAGCGTAGATGACATCATGGCAAAGCTGAAAAGATGCTAAGTATTTTACCAAAGATTGACTTATGCAAAGGTTATTGGCAAATCCCAGTTGCTGAAAATTGCCGCAGATTTACAGCATTTGCAAACGGATAGAGGGAGTTATCAATTCAAGAAAATGGCCTTTCGGTATGGTTAAACTCTGGAGCCACATTCAACAGAATGATGCGGAAGTTATTTGGCAGGGTGTGATTTTGTTGACAACTATGTTGACGATATGATTAGGGCATACAACAACCTGGACAGAACATATGACAATGCTGCGGCAGATCCTCCAAAGATTGGCAGAAGCAGACCTTACCATAAAGCCATCGGAGTGTTATATAGGATATAACAACATTGGTTTTACAGGACATATGGTGGGAAATGGCATAGTTCAAATAGACAAGTTAGAGCATTCTTAGGACTTGCCGGATATTACAGAAGATTTATACCATCGTTTGCTGAGATTGCGGCACCTCTTACAGACTTAACGAAGAAAGGTTTACCAAACAGGGTACGATGGGGAGATGAGCAAGAAAGAGCTTTTCATACTTTAAAGGAGCAACTAACCAAGAGTCCAATTCTTCGACTGCCTGATTTTTCGAAAGAATTCATTTTACAGTGTGATGCCTTGAATGCTGGGATAGGCTCGGCATTGCTTCAGAGATATGAGGGAGAGTTGTTAGAAAATAACAAAGAATGGCAACAACATGTTCTTGTAGTACGATTTCTTAAAATACAAAACTCTTTGGTACATTAAATGCACACACATAATAGAATTTTGTTACCCTTATTATTTGCAAAACAAATAACATTCAATTAAAAATGACCATGTAAGCAGAACTGTATTGTAGAATAAGATATAACCTTAAAATGTTTTTTAATTAAAATTATAGCTTAAAAGTTATAATCATTTACAAATTTAGTTTTATAGTTGATGAAATCGATTGACTACAATAGATAGCTATATACAAAATTTAAAACATTAATTACATGAAAAAATCGTTTTGGTTTTTGATATACACAAATTTAAATTTTCTCATACATACATACATACTTACATACATACATTTTTATCAAACACTTTATGTAGTGACATAAGAAACTAATCAACGTTAAAATTATAATGAAATACTTAATCCATGACTGACTGATTTGATTATGAATAAAAAAATAATTTATCAACACACTTAAACGATAACAGTCACATTTATATTCCTTAAAATTAAACATGTTTTAAACTAAAATTAGAATATTTATACATTGAATGCATGTATAATCGTTATTCCATGCTTACCAAAGATTCAAACATGCAATTGTTACATGTATTTATTCCCAAGGAAAGGAATGTAAACATACAAAGTGAATCTAGTTCACAGACACAGCTGTACAAACTGTTTGCTAACTAATATGTATATGCTCACTCCAGAGTAGACAGTAGTTTATAAAAACGGTTTTTAATAAGATAATGTGTGCGAAAATGTTATTAACTGAATATATGTAAAAAGAGTATATCCCAGTGCTTTTGAATATGCTGCAGGAACTGTATTAAGCTGATAGGTGTCACTATTTACCTTGAGCAGGTCCTTTACACAAAATAGCTCCCCTTTCTTCCAACAACAATACCTGCCAAACAACGAAGTCTATTTTCTTTCCAGCTTTTGTATAGTGTCTATATCTGCTAGTATCAAAGTTGGATCCTGGCTTGGCGCACGTGTCAATAACAACAGGTGGAGTTTGTACGTGCAATAACCAACACAGCTCTATACAACGGGTCGTATAACTTCCCAACTTTTTCGGAACAAACCAGTCCTTATGTACCGATTCTATTTGCTATGAAAATATAAAGTAAAATATACTTTTGATTAAAATTAATACTTTTAATAAATCTTTCATGTATTTTACAATAAATTCAATTTGTATCTTTATTTTTTTCCAAATTTTAATGAGTTGAAGAACATTTGTTGTAGTGATGTATTAATTGTATTATGAAAGAACCAAATTTTTAATATAAAATAAGAATAAAGATCAAGAAGGCAAGGCGACGTTTACAGACCGAAGCCTCCGACACAATCCAGTATTAATCGTGGCCACGACTTAGTTATCTCGTGGCCACGCCTTAGCTATCTCTTGGCCACGTCTTAGTAACTCGTGGTCATGACATAGTATCTCGTGGCCACCAGATAACTAAGTCGTGGCCACGAGATACTTAGTCGTGGCCACGACTTAGCGATCTGGTGGCCACGACTTAGTAACTCGTGGCAAAGACATAGCATTTCGTGCGCACGAGATAAATAAAAACACACGTATGTCAATTTTTGGCCACCGTAAATTCAGATCTGGTCTCAAAATCCACATTTCGTGTAAGTATATTGGTAGCTTTTGTTAAATAATATTATAATACATGCATGTCTTTTGATCTTATGAGACGTTATAAATATCAGACACCATATTTGTTGTCATATCTATCCTTATTCAACCAATAAATACCTGTGAGAAGTATATCACTAAAATCTAACAGAGCTGCATCAGTGTTAGGGTTTTGGTACTTAAGTACCAGTACCAGTACTTGCCAAGTTACGTAGTATCATACCAGTACTAGATTTTAGCTTGGTACTGCAGTACCAGTACTTTTTTGGGGAAGTAATTAAGTATCATTACCATTACTTTTATATATTCATCAAAGTTTGAATAAATACACAGTGTCAAACAAAATAATTGCAAACATAATTCAGCAAAGAAATAAAATCATAACTTACTTTAAAGTTAAAAATTACATTTTTACAACTTCAATGATTAATCATACATTTTAAAACAATATTTACAACATATATTCATGTCATATCTTGTTGTTTAGTAAACCAGTCAACTGTAATACAATGCAATCATCTTTCATTTAAAACACAAGAGTCTTTTGTTGCTTTTCACACCTTCACACCTCTGTTTAATTTATACCAAAGTAAATAACTTTTGATGGTGCTAACAAGATCACTTGAAATAGGATTATTTAGAATAGAAGCAATTAATTAGTGTTTATATATTTTGCTCTTTTGTACTAGTAAATACACAGTAATAAAATATTGTAATTAGGATATTTTAAGATATAAGAGTTACTGAGTGTGTAAATCTCAATTTAGTTTTTTATTCAAGTCTTTGGTGCCTCTTTTTATGATGAATATTATGTTAACATTTGAAGGAATATTGATAACTTACCTTTTCACAATAATTAAATTAAACGAGGGGTTATACAAACATTCGTGGACTTTCTTTGTTGCGTAAAATATATTTGAGATATTAATTTGAAATTCTTACACTGCTTAGAAGAATTATTAACAAATAAACACAGAACAATTCATGTGAGTAGCTTCTTACATTACAACAATATTTTATTTTACATCAACACATGTCGGCGACAACGGCGGACTCCAAAAGGTTATTGACGGCAACGTCATACTATTAACGTACAACTTGTAACAACGTTACGCAGTCAATGACGGTTACTGCTTCTCAAAGTAATGTCTATCGCTAAATGTTTTATGCCACTTTAACACTAATAATCGTGAAATTTTATTTTCTCTGTTTGTCTGCTGATTTTTATCAAATGTTTTTGTAGGTGTCATTTCCAAATTACAACAAATATTAATGATCGTTTATGATCGTGCGATTTTCTAATTACCGCGTGTCCGTCATTTTCCCGTTATAAACAATAACGGCGTCTGGCATTTTTAGCGATATCAACAAAAATAAACGGAAATGACATCAATTACTTTAAAGAATTACTTAAATGACATCATAGAAGAAACATGCGATGTTCAGCGAGTTTTCTACGTTAATATTTTAGTTTTTTAAGCAAGAAATATACGATGACTTACTGCGCTTTTCTACCACGCACTGGGTGTCGTGTATGTGCTTATTTAAAAGCAATATAAAATCATCATTTATTGACATAATTAACTGTTCCTTTCAAAATGTGTTGATAATATTCTACAATGTATGCTGCTAAACTTACATTACAATACACGATGACGTTCAAGAGATATTTAAAAAGTCAACGAGTTTTTGGATAACCCCTCGTACATGGAATTTACAGCTTTAAGTTTTGAGAAAAATTGATGACATTTTTATCAAAACCAAAGTACTGCCTTGTAATGCAGTAGCAGTACCACTTTTTAAGACAGTAATGCATTACCAGTACCAGTAGTAGCAACATTTTGTAAGAGTAATTAAGTATCAGTGCCAGTACTTGTGAAATCGCTGCAGTACGTACTGCAGTACCAGTACCAGTAATGCAGCTCTGAAATCTAACACTTTTTTTAAAACGGATCTAATGTATAAAAATATAATGTTTAAAGAAAAATAACAAAATAAAAAATTCCCTCATTTCAAAAGCAGTTGACAGTTATTCTAGTCTATACACTTCATCGTTTAGCTAATGCATTACGAGTATATTATCTCCTCAGGTGTAATATAAAAAAATCAAACTGACAACGCTTCGACCAAACAACTACATTATATACGTATACGCTTAATATCGTTCGTTGGCATTTAAGCAATGTTCTAAAAAGGCGTACAAGCTAAATGATTGTCATACTGTTTTAAATATGCATAAAAATTTTACTATGTAGATTAATGCAGATGACACTATGCATAAAATGAAAATATGCCTTTTTCAATGCTTTCTTTATCATAGACATAATGTCAACAAACAAAATGCTTACATTTAGCATCATTGAAAAATCATAAGATTTAAAATACAGGTTATGACGTTTTTGATAGCAATACCGCCTTCCTTTTTGCTCTTGTTCCAATGCTTTGAAACTACATTATCTACGCACACGTAATATCCTTCGATGCCATTTTAGTAAATAAGAACAAGAATATGTGAAAAGGTTTCGAATATCGTTTCATAGAAATTGATAAATGCCTTTTCATTGGAATGTTTAGGAAAATATAACTGTGAACGAGTAATTATATATAATGCGTAAATGCTTGTTTTTTTCTATAATTGTTGACTTTATAAAAAAATGCTTGTTCGAGTGTGAACTAAGCAGTTTTTATCATTTTTTTTCAGATTCGAAATCACCTTCCATCACTACTATAAGTATATAATTAGTTACATTTGCATATTATTTAAACAATAACTTACTCATCTAAGTTTTCCCGTGTAACCGACACGTGTAGCTTTATTTCATCCAAACAATTTGAGATATCTACTTTGCCTGAAATATTCTTGCCTTTATATATTATTGTCCAAATATTTTTTATCGCCTGTTCTTGGGGTTTTGTAAGTTTTCTTGTGTCTTCTTTCTTCTTTTTTTCACTGAATAACATAAATTTTGCAAAAGCAATACAAAAGGTTGTTATATATGATTAAGTACAATTCTGAATTCTATTGGAAGAGTTCACAGCCGTCAGACCTATACTGGAAGAGGCGGTAGCATAGTCTGCCGTGGACGAGTCTTATAGAATCAGTATTGTTCTCAACTATACACATGTATAGTGAGCTCTTTATTTTACATCATCACGTGCGATATATATTCTGGACTTTGAAAATGAAAACGAGGCTATATGAAATACGATATGCATTTGATATAGATATTTTGGTTTCTGCAAATAAGATACGATATGCATTTGATATGGATGTTATGAACTCTGAAAATAGAAACGAAGCTAAATTAATACAATTAGATAAAGTCATGATTTTTATAGGAATTGTTACGAGCCAGGCGTAACGAGAAAGAAAAGCCAGCAACAAACTTG